GCCGATCACAAGAAACTCTAAATAGCCGAAGACAAACGCCGAAAGCCGCTGAATCAAGCCCGAGGCTCTGATACCATGATAACCAAGATTAAAGCATAAAGAACAACACGAGATTTACGTGGTATCCTCAACGAGTATCGTCGAGACTAATCCACGGAGAGGACCAACCTCTCAGAGTCAATAATATAATCTCAGCCGAATAGAGTTCATCTCGTACAGCAGCTGCCGAGCCGCACCAAGAGACAGCAGTGGACACAGCAGCCGAGCAAAAATCCAAAAGGCCGACCGCACCAAGAGAGAGCAGCGAACGTAGCAGCCAAGAAAAAAAATTCCAAAAGTTGACCGCACCAAAGAGACAGCCGTGTACAACCTAGAAACACCACAAAAATTCTAAATAGCCAGAGACAAACTAAGGGAATAGCTGTAACCTTAATAGCCGAAGATCACCAGAAACGCTGAATATCTGAAGTCAAACGCCGATCACAAGAAACTCTAAATAGCCGAAGACAAACGCCGAAAGCCGCTGAATCAAGCCCGAGGCTCTGATACCATGATAACCAAGATTAAAGCATAAAGAACAACACGAGATTTACGTGGTATCCTCAACGAGTATCGTCGAGACTAATCCACGGAGAGGACCAACCTCTCAGAGTCAATAATATAATCTCAGCCGAATAGAGTTCATCTCGTACATCAGGGACGACACTCAACATATATATATGACTGCCCTAATCCGACTAAGGCCCTAGACGTAATTAAGTGAAAATACTTAATAATTACATATTGCTACATAAACTTCTAACTTCTAACAGTATCGCCAAATGACTTGGTTTGATTTAATATTGTTCTATCATTTTTGGGTTTAGTTGGTGTGCTCTTGGTGTGTTTATACTTTCCTCTTGGCTGGGTTCTAAACAGAGTTTCTTTGATCGAATTGCAGAGGGAAGCTTAGTGATTTGGAATTAAAACTCAACCGTTTTACTTGCAAGTAAAATTAGTTGGGTCAAGGAATTGGCATTAGTGTCAGCCGGCTAATCACAAATCGATGTCGTAGGAAGCTAGCATGAGGAGGGAAGCTAAGGGTTTGTGCGCAATCCTACCGGGGTGAGCATATATATATATATATACTAGGTGGCGATGGCGCGCCTTGTCGCAGAGTGAAGATGACCTATGTGCATGTATTATGTGGTCCGTTATGGTGTTTTATTAGTATTAATATTAGTCTAAAATTAATTTTTTATTAACAACTTTGTTAGTAATATTGACGACTATATGATATTGATTGCGAAGAGATACATGGCGGTCAACATCCTATTTTAATTTATTTTGAAAAAATTTTGGCTAGTAAATGATATTTACCTAAATCCGAGTAGACCCATTGATTATATGTAGCGTATGGGTGACATATATATGGGTTAGGAAGTTTATAGATGGGTTTGGGTAGAGTTTGAATATTTACTTTCATAATCTAAATGTGTATGAGTTGGGTATGGATACCCATTTATTCGAGAGTGTTTTAATTACACATACAAAAATTAAACCTATTTGTAGAACTTTAAAAGTTTAGGTATCAAAATGTAATACACAAAAAAATTTATGTACTAAAATGTAATGTTCCATCAACATTTTGAGGACTTATATGCCAAAAAAATTATGTTATAAATTTAAAGATCTATTAAGTTTAGGTATAAAACTGTAATTTGCATAGTTGAGGCTTAATTTCTTTTATGGCGATGTATTTAAGATGATAGCTATTTACTTTTTTTCAATAAAAAAATAAAAACTATTTATTTGATATGTGTAGATACCTAGCCAAATATTTCATGTATAATTTTTGAAAATTCTAGTCCGGGTGAAAAAGAAAAACTATAGAGAGAAGCAAATAGAATACAAACTGGAACTCGCTTAAAATTTCACGCCCTCAAATTCCATAGTGAAAATGACGACTTTCTAATAAGTTATAACCATATATTTTACAATTGTGATTAGAATACATAAAAATAGTATACTAATTAGGGTTAGACGAAGAAGGCAAAGAAACAAATAATGAAAGGGTTATGGAAGGCGAATGAAAACTGAAACGAAGAGGAAGTAAACGATGGAAAGGTTTTGACCAATTCTTTTAGTTGAACGTTAATAAACAATCAACCATTTTCAGAGTAGCAATTTATTGACACTTACTTATGTAGATGTCGCATGTTTTGTTACATGTAGTTAGTAGAAGTTTGTTTAGTAACCCGTAAATATACTAAATGAGTTTATAAATGCTATCTTTTTAATATTTTAGAGTCGTCTCTCTTGTATTGTACAAACTAAATTTATACTTTTATGCTATGGTGGATTGGATTCATGGATTGGTTCAAAAGGATTGGTGGATTGGATTCATGGACTCAAGCGAAATCTAAACACTGGACCGATATGTAAATTTAGATACCAAAACATAATTGTTCAATGATTTTATATTAAAATTAAATTTTGGGTATCAAAATGTAAAATGTACATTATAGTGACTAAATTGTAATTTAATTAAATTTGGGATATCAAAATACAAATAATTAGGCAACAGTAACCAAGCTTCACATTTATATATTTTAATAATATGCATGACAAAACAATGCGAGAGGAAAAAGTTTCAGCAGCCGCCACTCAAGCCTTCCCCTTGAAGTTATCAATTCCTTAGCTCTCACAACCGAGAGGCACAAAATCCAGGTTCCTTTCCATTGGGGTTGCCATCGAGAGGGGAGACAACCGAGGATGAGGAATAGTGATCGACGAACGATAGGCTGGATGGATTACAAATAAGAACTGGGGAGCCCGCGACAACCATGGACATGCAGTTGCGCCGATGATGATGAATGACGAACAGCTGGGCGGCCAGATCCGGGGATGGTAAAAATAAAAATACTCTGGGGTTGCACGACCAGCGATGGAGGTTTCCGTAGTGTTGTTGGTGGGCGAAGGACTCAAACGACGGTAAGGAATAGACAAAGAAAGTGGTAAGGGTCTCTTCCACCAAGTTCGATAATGTCGATTATATATTGTCCTAGGAGTAACCTAAGTTCAGGGTAAATAATTTTGGAATTTAAGAAGAACATGGATGGCCAGAAATTGCGCGCATATCTTAGGATCCAGGATTCCAGGTGGGATACGTGTATGTCTGTACACAAGGGTAGTTCGTGCTGGAGGAATTTTGAGACACGTGTTTGGAGCATGACTAATTACAGGGAGTTCAAATTAGCTAAGCTAATTCCTGATATATAGCTTTCACGTGGGAACTAACATGAAGTCTGAATTAAGAATCATGAGGATGAAAAAAAAGGCTCCAATCTTATAGCTACACGTTTGGGTGAAGGGTTTGATTATGTGGGTAGCATAAAGATTGTAGGGGGGATTATGTTGGCTAAGGTTGGAGGTGGTTCTAAAGTTGGGGAAATATGTTTATGTGTATGGATTTGGAGGGATTAATCGATGGAGGTGTTAGAAGCTAAAAAGGGGTTGTGAATTATCATAATACCTAATTGTGTGTTTTGGGATGACTTCTACGAGGAGCTACTGTTGGCAAGGCATGTGAGAAAGAAGTGATACGAGGAGGAAGAAACAAGAATAGTGCATATAGTGAGCGAGCATATAGTACGAAAAGAATGAGCCATGGCTACAACATGGAGCTACATCGAAGATGAAGATGGAGATCGAGGAAACAAGAGAATAAAGTTACATGGCTATTGACGTTAAGAAGTCATCAGAGGAACATAACTCAAACAAGGTAAAATCTTCCAACCATACTTCATTTAGCAATAGTGATTACTACAATGATGTTGATCAATGAGTGTCTACTATCAAGGAAATTCAGTTAGAGTTTGGAAATGTTAAAGTAAAATATTCAAAATTAAAATATGATTATGCCAAAATAAAAAATGAATATGATGAACTAAAGAAGGAGGCATCTGGATTAAATGAATATGAAGAGTCACTAAAACATGAGAGGATCGAAACTTCAAGACAAAGATATAAAAACATTGAATGTTTCTATTGTCATAAGTATGGGCACAATAAGCGAGTATGTAGGAAGAGAATACTAAATGAAAAATATAGAACTTGTTTTATTTGCCATCAAGTCGGTCACATTAGTAGATTTTGTTCTACCAACAATCCACGCATGAAGAATGTGATACTAGTAAAAGGTCTTAAACACAATTTTTTTCCATTAGTCAAATGTGTGGTAAAGATGAGAGGATAATTTTTGAACCTGATTGTTGCTACATTGAATCATTGATTGATAAGAAAGTGCTTTTCACCGGTAGGCGTAAATCTAGATGATAAAGAAAGTTTTAAGGTAACTTGTCTAATGTCATTAGAGAAAAATGATCAAATATATAAGCATAGGAAGCTTGGACATGTGAGTATAGGGATTCTTTCTAAACTAATTTATCTTGAGCTAGGGCTACCTAAGTTAACAAGCAAAAAAGATTCTTTTGTGATGCGTGTGCTAGAGGAAAGCATACAAGGTTCAGCTTCAAGAGTAAGACGGTAATATCCATAGCAAGACCTCTTGAACTACTTCACCTCGATCTCTTCGGACCAACCAATGTGGTAAGCTATGGAGGTAAATCTTAAGCTTTCGTAATTGTGGATGACTATTCTCGCTTCACATGGATACTTTTTCTAGGGGTTAAAGACACATTTGGTCACTGAGATTACAAAATCGGGACATGTTTAGTCACTAGAAAAATTTAATATCAAATTTGGTCACTACAATTACTAAAACTGGACGCATTTAGTCACTCGCCGTTAGTCTCCGTCCAACTCCGTTAATGAAGTCCGTTAAGTGCTGATGTGGCAAACAGAATTGCCTAATCAGCCGGATATTAACCCAACAAAAATAAAACCCGACCCGCCACGTCATTATAACCCGCCACCTCATTAAAACCAACCCAACCCAACCCAACCCAACCCATCACCCAACCCTACCCAACCCTTCTTCCTCCTTCCTCCCCAGCGACATGGCGAAAGTCCTGCAGGTCGAAATTGAAGCGGAGGAGGAGAAAATCGAAGAGATCTCGGAAACCCAATTCGGGCTTTTCACCAAGCAATTCGCCCGCCGCCACGGCCTCCACCTCGTCGGCACCGCCGTCTGCTGGTTCCTCCTCGACATCGCCTACTACAGCTCGAATCTCTTCCAGAAGGACATCTTCAGCGCAATCGGGTGGATCCCGCCGGCGAAGACGATGAACGCGGTCCACGAGGTCTACGTCGTGTCCCGAGCCCAAACCCTAATCGCCCTTTGCGGCACCGTCCCCGGGTACTGGTTCACGGTGGCTTTAATCGACCACATCGGCCGATTCGCCATCCAATTGATGGGATTCTTCTTCATGACCGTGTTCATGTTCGCCCTCGCAATTCCGTACCACCACTGGACATTGAAGGCGAATCGGATTGGGTTCCTGGTGATGTACTCGCTCACTTTCTTCTTCGCGAACTTCGGGCCCAATGCGACGACGTTTGTGGTCCCGGCGGAGATTTTCCCGGCGCGGCTGAGGTCGACCTGTCACGGTTTCACGGGGCGCTTGCTCTGGCGGCGGCGCAGCAGCAGCAGCATTACGAGGAACGGTTTTCCGCCGCGCATCTGGGATTCCACCACCACCAGCAGCATATGTTGTCGTCGGCGGATCAAATCGCGGAGGCTCTGCCGAGCGCCAGCGGCGGAGATAGCGGCGGCGGTGGAGCGGCGGATTCAGGGGAGAATTACCGGAAAAGATTCAGGGAGGATTTGTTCAAGGATGAAAATCAACAGGGCGGAGAGAGTGGCGACGGCGGCAGGGGATCTCCGAATAGAATCCCTAAATTGGGTTGGGGAGGAAGGAGGAAGAAGGGTTGGGTAGGGTTGGGTGATGGGTTGGGTTGGGTTGGGTTGGGTTGGTTTTAATGAGGTGGCGGGTTATAATGACGTGGCGGGTCGGGTTTTATTTTTGTTGGGTTAATATCCGGCTGATTAGGCAATTCTGTTTGCCACATCAGCACTTAACGGACTTCATTAACGGAGTTGGACGGAGACTAACGGCGAGTGACTAAATGCGTCCAGTTTTAGTAATTGTAGTGACCAAATTTGATATTAAATTTTTCTAGTGACTAAACATGTCCCGATTTTGTAATCTCAGTGACCAAATGTGTCTTTAACCCCTTTTTCTAGCTAGCAAAATTGAAGCTTTTCAAAAATTTGAGTCTCTTACTAGGAAATTGGAAAATGAAAAACAATCTAAGGTTGCTAGTATTAGAAGTGATCATGGTGGATAATTTATCTCTGAAGAATTTGAATACTTTTGCAATAAACTAAGAATAGCTCATAATTTTCTGCTTTTATAACTCCGTAAAAAAAGGAGTTGTGGAAAGGAAAAATCAAAGCTTGATTGATATAGCTCCAAAAAAGGACTTGGTGGAAACTATGAACAAGCAAGGACACCAAACAATGATAAATCAGAGCCTAGAATAAACATCTGAAGACCAAGATAAAGCAGTAAGTATCATAAACTCATAGATCAAGCAAGAGCATGATGTAAGGCAACCTCCTCCACATATTGCTAAACGACATCCTTCATCCTTAATAATATGAGGCTAAATGAAGGTATGGTTACTCGCTCTAGAAATTCTATTGTGCATAATGCTTTTGTATCATTGGTTGAACCTAAGAACGTGTTAGAGGCTTTGAATGATGAAAATTGGATTACTGCTATGAATGAAGAAACTAGTTTTTTATCCGCCCGTTGGGCGGTCGAAATTGATTTATTTTTCATCGTATTATTTTATTTTTTTATAATTCATGTATGTTACATTATTATACATGAAAATTTCAATCTCCTTTAGCTTATTTCACAAGAAGATATTCTTTGACCCTTTGTATCTTCCATTTATTAATGAAACAATAATTTTTAATAAATTATTTTATGTCAACTATTTTGTGTCTACTATTTTTTATTATTATTTTAGATCCTATGAATATCATGCAATATAAGTTATCCATATAATTTTGATAGAGCAAGAAATCTCATTAGCATCTACATAATCAATCTTCTGTTTATCCATTTTAATTTACCTTAGCAATGTTCTAGCATAATCAACCAGAAATCGAACTAACGACTATCATTAATTTATTAAAATAATATTTTCAGCAATTTAACCGCATATAAATATAATTGATATTTAGTAGAGGGCTAAATATCCTCTGCAAAACGAATTTTTTTTTTTTTACATAATAACAACATAGACGAATAGTGAAAGTTGCAAACTTCAATACAACTCAATTTGTTCCATCTTATGAGTTCCTCAATCATGAACTGGATTGATGCATCAATCCACGCTAAGAAAACAAACAAATGACATTGCACACTTTAAGAAATTGAAAGAACATCGACATAGACAACCCAATGACCACCACTACCACTTTATTTCTTATTTGTGACCTTTATAAAACTCCACGTCCCTTCTACTTATAACCCCCTGCTACTTACTACTTACTGACCATATCATCATTGTAAAGCTAGCTAGTAGCAAGCCACTCATGAACATAATAAATATAAAACATCCTCTGATGGAACATGGTAAGGTGACAACCCTCTCAAGTTTGTTTTCCATTTTAGCATCCGATGAATAATATAGAAGATAAATGCTAGAAATCTCAAACTTTTGAGCAAATAAGAAAAGAGTTTTGTTTGTTTTTACAGGGCTTGACCCAATCAATTAATTTTATTCTTTTTACTGATGGGTTTTATTTTTAGAGAGCTAATCTAAAAGGAAAAAAACGTATAGAAACAAACTAAAAGGTTGCATTCATTGTTATTGACTTAGATTTATGTGTTATTAATGATAATGACGATTGAAAGTGTTAACATAAGGTACGTCATTTATAATTAGAACTTGCCCACCATGAAAGGATGAGAGCTATCCATGTGCTGATGTGACAGTAATTTAGTTTTTAATAATACCTAAAGCGAAGATGAAAGACAATGATAGATCAAGTAGGGCAATTTAAAACCATGCCACCATAATATGAAAGTAATTAAAAATGGAAAGAAGAGTAGAACCCGACCGGTCAATCACAAGCAGCCAAATACCGTTGGAGAAGAGAGGTCAGTCATCAGCTGCGGATCACGGGAGAATAGGGAGTTGTCGTCAATACTTGGCTTGGTTTATTTCGTATTCTCAATGATAAGAACTTTTTTTGCCAATAGGAAAAATATGTTACAACTACTCAATTGTTTCTCATCTAATTGCTGCCTCTTGTAACTGACGCAATGAAAAAACTCTATATGTCTTACCATTTTCCTTACATGTATGATGTATATATGCATAAAATAGTAGAAAAGAAAATAGAAATGCTAGAAATCTCAAAATTTTGAGTGAATAAGAAGAGAGTTTTGTTTGTTTTATAGGGCTTGACCCAATTTCTATCTTTTATTTTTTCCAATTTCCAATTTTAATTTTAGAGAGATCATCTATACTGGAAAACCAATAGAAACAAACCAAAAGATTTCGTTCATTGTTATTAACTTACTGCACATTTTAATGATAATAATGATGATTTTAAGTGTAAGGAAAAAAATTTATAATTGGAACTTGCCCACCATGGATGAATGAGAGTCATCCATGTGCTTATGTGGCAAAGATTTAGTTTTGAATTCCTATAATATTAAGTAAGAATGAGTCTGTTTGAGCGAGCAAATATTTGAGATTTAGTTTCTAGACCACCTTATAGAATTATTATTGGACTAAGTGGATTTACAAGAACAAGTTAGATGAAATTGGGGTAGTTACTCGTAAAAGGGCTAAGTTAGTAGCTCAATGATATAATAATTAAGAGGGAATAGATTTTGATGAAACATTTGCTCCGGTCACTAGATTAGAGGCTATTAGAATGCTATGTGCTTTCGCAAGCTCTAAGGGTTTTAAACTTTTTCAAGTGGATGTCAAAAGTGCCTTTTTAAATGGAGATTTAAAAGAGGAAGTGTATGTAGAAACAAGCTCATGTTTATAAACTAAAAAAGGCGTTATATGGTTTGAAACAAGCTCCACGAGCTTGGTATGAAAAGTTTAGTTCCTTTCTTTTGGGAGAAGGTTTTAAAAGGGGGCTCAATGGACAAAACTCTCTTTATTAAAAACTAGTTTTGTGCCCGACGCCCCGACCGATGGGCGAGATGTTTTATTTTATGTTATTTGTTTCAATAGTGGTAGGCTATTATTTAGTTTGAATGTGGCTAGGAGCTATTATCATGTAAAGCGATAAAAATCAATACTAAATTGTCATTTTTTTGAAGATCATATTCACGATCATATGCTATTTCATTGGCCAACAGTTTTCAACTTTATATGTTGTACATATATTTTTATTGATTTAGCCTTTTGTGGATATATATGTTTGGGCCAAATATTGTGAGCGTCTAAGATTTCTTTGTCTCGGGAAAAATATTCACGTTGCTGATTCTAATTATTATATATAATGATCAAATCATAGCCATTATTTCAACTTATTTCTCAATTTGATGAATGTATAACTCAACAAGTTAGTAGTTTAACATTCTGTTGATAGTAGACTGCTCAATCAATGGTAAATAGGGATGGCAAAAATATCCATAACCGTGGATATCCGTCCTAGTCGGGTAGGGTAAAACCCGAACCCGAAGGACATTTAGTGGGTACGGGTAAAACCCGAACCCGAATATTGCGGGTAATGGGTGGGCATGGATTTCTCACTATCCGACCCGAACCCGCCCGATTATACACATGCATATGTATTTTGTCTAGAAATAATCATTATTTTTCTCTAACATATTTTATATTTGAGCATATAAATATAACATTTTCATGAAATTGTGTTGTTTTAGTTAATTTTCTTCATTCTAGTGAATTCTTGTTGTACTTTTTCTCTTACTTAATATAAGAATACGTGTGAATGTTAACATATTGGTTGGAGTTATGAAGAGAAATTAATATCCATGGATAACCGTGGATACCCGAAACCCGAACGGGTATGGACATGGCTTTGATTTTCTACCCGTTTCACATGTGGGTATGGATATGGGTAAAACCCGAAGTACTTTGGGTAGGGTAATGGATATTCACTATCCGCCCCTGACCCATTGCCATCCCTAATGGTAAAATTTCCCCCACTGATATATACATATAACTCATATTCATCATTCAAATAACGATCAATCTTGCACTCATATAACTAAGGTCAAAAGATAGCATTGTTGTGCAGTTCTTTTTTCAGGATGTACTTTATTTTTTGACATAGCATCAGCACAACACTAACATGTACTTGAATGAGGTCTAAGTAATGTGATCTTCCAGAGAGACCCAAAACCTCATGAAAGCAAGGAAGGCTAAAGAGCACAAAATCCTCGGTCACAGGACCAAATCCACGCCAATGAAACAGGTGTTTAGACCGTGGATTTGGACAGGAGCAATTCCCCATCCAAGTCACCAATTCCACGCCCGTGGAATAGAAGGCCAGACTGCGAAATTTGCGTAATGAGTTAAAATTACCTTTTGTGTTTTGGATTCTTTTCATTTTTGGGTTTTTGTTTACTTTTTTTGTTTATCTAGCCTATTTAAAGGCTTAAACTCGTTTTTTATCACAAGCATTGAAGAATATTTTTATTTTGGTTCATTGAGCTTTAGGCTTGTGAATTTTTTCTCTTTATCAATCGAGTTTTCCCCTTGATTGTGGTCGAGATTCTAACCTTATATTGATAGAGCCTTCTCCCAGGTGCGAGATTACATTTCATTTTCGCCCTATCCTTATCTTTTATTCCTGTTGTTAGCTGTGTGACTTTGAAAACTACGGGTACCGATTCTTGCTCGTATCACCAAGAGTGAAAAAAGCACA